ACAGTGTACGATAGTTATGGCTATGGATAGTTCTATAGAACAGTGTGTGATGGTTATGGCTGTAGATAGTTCTATAGGACACTGTACGATAGTTATGGCTGTGGATAGTTCTATAGGACACTGTACGATAGTTATGGCTGTTGATAGTTCTATAGGACACTGTACGATAGTTATGGCTGTGGATAGTTCTATAGGACAGTGTACGATAGTTATGGTTGTAGATAGTTCTATAGGACACTGTACGATAGTTATGGCTGTAGATAGTTCTATAGGACACTGTACGATAGTTATGGCTGTAGATAGTTCTATAGGACACTGTGTTATAGTTATGGCTGTAGATAGTTCTATAGGACACTGTACGATAGTTATGGTTCTCAAGTGTCTTGAAGTTCTAGTAAAATATTTGTAGAAAGTTCTGGCCTTCATCTTTGTTATGTAAAATATTTGTAGAAAGTTCTGGCCTTCATCTTTGTTATGTAAAATATTTGTAGAAAGTTCTGGGCTTCATCTTTGTTATGTAAAATATCTGTAGAAAGTTCTGGCCCTCATCTTTGTTATGTGAAATATCTGTAGAAAGTTCTGGCCTTCATCTTTGTTATGTAAAATATCTGTAGAAAGTTCTGGCCTTCATCTTTGTTATGTAAAATATCTGTAGAAAGTTCTGGCCTTCATCTTTGTTATGTGAAATATCTGTAGAAAGTTTTGGCCTTCATCTTTGTTGTGTTTTCATTGGTCTAGAACTACTACTTTGAAGATTACTAAATTAACTGAAATTGTCTCAGACTCTATTGACGTTCCTTTACTTATCATATTTCAATATTTATAAAAAAACAGAATTATTTATCGAGAAATTAAAGTATAACATTTGCCATGCTTCCAAAACATTAAACATTTTCCAATATAAAAATCACGATTTCCTTTCCTCAAGCCTCCCTGTTGACTCGGTGATAAGTCTATGAGTTTATAACATTAAAAATCAGGTTTTGATACTCGTGGTGGGCAGAGCACAGATAGATCCTTGTATAGCTTTGCGCTTAACGACAAATGAACCAAATCCTTTTCTTAAATTTTATGAAGTTAATGAAAAAAAGGAGTCAACATCTCTGTTACATCCATCAGTAGTATTCATAGGTAAGTACGAGATGTGTGGTAAAAACTTCATTGAATTACAATATTGTAATAAGATGTGGTCACAGATTAAATGTGTCTTTCTTGTTATTGACTAAACTTTGATGAAAAAGAAAAGGATTCATAATTTATACCATTTTAAACTTTAATTAATTGATCATTGATAAATTCTGTATATTTTGTTTCTAATATGATTGTTTTTTATATTTATGTAGGGTTAAAGTACCTACATTCTGGACGTATCCTTCATCGAGATATTAAACCTGGTAACCTGCTTGTCAACAGTAACTGTGTTCTCAAGGTAGGAAAATACAAACACAGAGTTAATGATTTTGAGTTATATTAATTTAGAATTTAGGGTTAAGTAGTTCTAGAGATGTGTATTAGCAATAAAAACTTGTTTCATCAACAATGTAACTAGTTTAACAAAGTTAACGGTACAGTCATCGACACTCCAGTTGTATGTAGATTTTTATTTTCTGTTTCTCTCTCTTTTTAAACCATTAATAAACCATAGTGTCAAAACCTAACATACCAAGTTCAATTTGGACTATAAGATTAAGTGTCACTCCAACAATTGTAACTGTTCTATAGAATGTTTAAAGTATAGTTTTGTGTCTGTTTCAAAACGTGGTAAAATAAATTAACATGTGCTCTTTAATTTATAGATTTGTGACTTTGGTTTGGCTCGAGTGGAGGAACCTGACGAGAATCGTCACATGACTCAGGAGGTTGTCACTCAGTACTACCGCTCACCTGAGTTGCTCATGGGGGCCAAACACTATACTTCGTCAGTTGACGTTTGGTCAGTTGGCTGTATTTTTGCAGAACTTTTAGGTCGACGAATTCTTTTTCAAGCTCAGACTCCTATTCAACAAGTGAGTTAAAATTGAATTTAAAGGAAGAATACGCTTGTGTATGCCTAACCAGGTTTTAGTATGTAACAAAGATCACATTAGTGTATAAACAGTTTCAAAAAATGCGTTTAATGTGAGAATCCACCACTAGTAATTCTATGATTCAGACACATCACGTATTTGCTTATTTTACCCTTTTAAAAATAATAGCATGAATTTTTTAGTCTTTTACAAGCCTTCCAACATCCCCTATTTCCATGCTTTATCAGGTCTCCCCCATTTTTTTTTCTCTGTTGTGGGAGAAAGGAAGGGGGGTTTGTGTTTTACCTGAAAATTGTTTTCTTGGTACTGAGAGGCCTCAAACATGTAAAAACATAACTTCTAGGTTAGACCTTGGTATATGTATCAAACATGTAGAAACATAACTTCTAGGTTAGACCTTGGTATAGGTATCAAACATGTAGAAACATTCATAACTTCTAGGTTAGACCTTGGTATATGTATCAAACATGTAGAAACATAACTTCTAGGTTAGACCTTGGTATGTGTATCAAACGTAAAAATATAACATAACTTCTAGGTTAGACCTTGGTATATGTATCAAACATGTAAAAACATAACATAACTTCTAGGTTAGACCTTGGTATGTGTATCAAACATGTAGAAACATAACATAACTTCT